TTCTTTGTATTTTCTCCAACTATCTACCCTGCTTTTTTCACCTCAGAGAATAAAACATCTCTCTGCCCTTCGGCTAGAACATAGTTTTACTGTAAAGTGATTAAATCCTAAAATGTAGATATCCCAAATGACCCAATCAGCTTTATCAAAGATCTTTATTGATAGCAAATGGAAGGCTGCATCCTTTTTCTAATGCTTGAAGAATTCCCCAATTTTACTTCTAGAGCTGTGAAATGTGGTCAGAATTTCTGCACCACTAAATTAAAATAAGAAGTATCAAAGAGTTATATAAAAACATTGCAATCAGTATTTTTGGTTTTTAGTATCTATTTCTGACTAATGAGACAGTTTATATATAGTGAAATTAACATTTCCAGGAAATCTCGAAGTTTGAATAACTTTATTTAAATGTTATTTTATGTTCTTAATTTAACTGTAAATCACAGTTCTGTGTTACAGACACAAAATCTAAGACAAATAGAAAAATCATCAGGTTACCATCATTTTCTCATGAGGCACAAACCCAGAATCTTAAAGCTCATGTGATAAATTTATATATCCAATTACCTTTAGTAGATACTAATCTGTTTAGCAGTCTCTTTGTTTGAAGCACCGTCTAACTCTCTACTTTTTAAATCGCTTCCCCTCCTAAACTGTGATCATTGATATATTCGTTATTAAAAAGGGGTTATATAAATTATGAGGTAAACACATCATGCCACATTTACAGCAAACAAAGGTGAGTTATGCGAAACTTTACTTTATTCTGTCTTTCTTTGCCTGATAAACATTGTTCTTTTTTTAATGTGTTTATCTTCCCTCCCTTTACCACATCTGCTTTCCCTCTTGTGTTCCATGCATAGATTGCCATCATTTGTTTATCTGGCTTGTAATTAGCTATAGGATCACACATTGACTAATTATGTTTAACAGTTTGATATGTAATTAGAATTGTATCAGTATATAGTGTAAGCTGAGCTGATTAGCTCTTAACAGTGCAAATACTTGTGGTTAAAAGCCCATGACCGTGCCTTTCATAGATATAACTGAGCTTCAGTCAATATTTACATAAATATCAGGTGCTACATCGGATCAATCTCATATAATACAACGGAGCAAGAAATGAAATATCAAAAGAGTAGTTTTATGAGACAAACTTTCCTTTCCTTTTTATGGACCTAACTCTTTAAATATGATTTGTTCTAACAAAATGTGAAGAGTCAAGTAGATTTTTTTTTTGTGGTGTTTGTTGAATTGCACCATTTGTCCTCCAAAAGGCTTGATCAGATTTAAATGGCTTTTGGGAAGTTTAAGGTCAATAAGCTGGTGTTTTGTGCTCTTAAGCTGAAACACGGTTACTTTACTTGCCCACAACAAATAAAGATGTCAGCGTATAGGGATTGCTGCTTCCAGGTATACCTGCAGAGTAGACTGATGTTATTGAATTTAAGCTGCAGCTGGGAAAGGAAAAATAGGTGTATCCTAAACAAAAGACCAGCTTTATTCCTTCAGTTGAAATTATTTTCCACCTTACAGAAACCAATCTGACGCTTTCCAAAAAAGTACAAATTTCGACTTTCATAAAATTGTTTGTTTGTGCTCCCCTGAAACTTCATCCCTGAACTTCCCTTAATATATTCTAAACACTCAATCAACCTTACCGTTTCCTTTTTAAGCCAGTACTGCCAAAGAAGATAGCATTTGTGGTTGCAAAAATAAAGGATGGTCAGTCTACAGAAGGCTAGAATATGAAGTGTGTGAGACAAAGAAAAAAAATCTATCCTAGAAAATATCAGATTTTCATCAAAAATATAGATTTTAGATGAAGCCCATCTGCAGCGGCCCTCTCTCAGCATTGTTGTGTGTGAAGAACCGCTGGCTCTGATTGCAATTTTTAACTCAGCTTTGGAATCAGTTTTGGAAGGAATTAGACTTGGGCAGGAAGAGGCTCTACCTTCATTCATTTTAAAGAAAGACGTATTCGCCGTTTTACTGACAGGCTGTTTGTTTATACCCCATTAAAAAAAAAAGAAATATTAAAACTAGCCTAGCAGAAACTTAGCTTTGAGTATCTATGAAATAAAATTAACCTGAAGCAGCGAAAGGAGTAAGAAATAAATGGCATCAGTATCCAGCGGAAATAGCATAAATTGGCTAGCTATGCAGATGATAGTTTGATCTTTCTGTATCAGCCATCAAAATCTTCACCCAAACTAATATGATCATTTGATACTTTGCTTGGTTATCGCGTTACAAATTAACATAAGTACTGTAAAACACAATTCCTCAAAAACAATTATAGCCCAAAGTACAAAATTAGAACCTCAATGGGAAACACAATATTTCAAATGTTTTGGGGTTACAATATCATTGGAGCTCACACAATTATTACAACGTTATTATTCACTGATACAAAAAACACTAAAAAGGAAATTGCAAGATGGAATCCAATTACATACTTAAGTTTTAGCTCAAGAATAGATTTGATTAAATGCAGCTTAATGGTGAGGGCATAGAGCTTGAATCATGAGTTTCTGAGTTCAAGCCCCACTCCCACAGAATGACACTCTGGGTCACTGAACAAGACCCCGCACTGCTCTCTGGGCGCCCCATGATGGCAGCCCACTGCTCCACAAAGGGATGGGTTAAATGCAGAGGTAAATTTCTCCAATGTGAGATTAATAAAGTTCAGTTATTATTTATCATGATTACCCTACCAATTGAAATGGGCCGAAAACAACAATAGTGAATTGGACAAAATGTTGTCCAGATACATATAATATCAGATACATACAAGGTAAAATGCCCCTAATATAATTTAAAACCTTACAACAACAACAAAAAAGCAGAGGGTGGATGGAGCCATCCTTCCCTTAGTGATAACTACTGGGCAACACAACTAAGACCTATTATATTCTGGTGTAACCCTTCATTTGACGCTTAGTGGAAAACATTGAAGAGGATATGTCTCCCATTCCCCTACATGGCAGATATTAATCTGCAGTCCTTCTATAAAATATAGAAAATCCATAAATTAGGGTGTCTCTCAAAATATGGAAAACAGTAATAACAGAATACAAATTAGACGAGGATATTGGGAACCTTAATATGGTGTGCACTTAAGAGTGCCCCAAACAAATTAGATACGAGATTCAAGGAATGGACAAATAAAGGATTAACAGCTGTATGCTCTTTGATAATTAAGGAAAACACACTACTTAGTTTTGAAAGAATTAAAGAGAAATATGCTGTGGAGGCACATGATTTCTATCATTACTTACAGTATAGCAGAGACACTTTGTCAGTGACAACGTAAAATATATATCAGAATCAAGCAAACAGCTGTTAGAAGTGTTTAAAAGGGCTTATGGTTTAAACAAACACAGAGCTATTATCTCAGGTCTATATAAATGGCTAATAAGAATGTACAGTCATCCCTGTATATTAAGGCAAAATGAGAAATGTAAAGAGAAATAGATCTGAAAGAGAAATTGTGGTTAAAAATTGGGAATATCAATGGAAATGTAGCAGCTCACACTGTTGGAAGGATTATTAAAACCTATCGGAAGGGGATTATGTTTGGGAGTCACTTGCCTCAGGAGAGGCCAACATTGACCATGTGGATGGACATTAAAATGGACATATACAGAGAAATTGAGAAATGAATTACAGATGTAAACCACAAGAAGGAGTTGTTTGATTCGCGGAAGAAATGGATGGACTACATAACAGCACGTAGGCCACAATCTGACTTGTTTAACCCTTGACAATATGCTGTGTGGGTAGCACTAACCATGCCTTACTCCTTACATGTTAATGTTTGGTTGTGTCTTGATTATTTTTTTTTTTACATTTTCTGTTCTTTTATTATGAGAAACAGGACATTAATGCCAACAGTCTAAAACTGATTATTGAAATGGATGTTCATGCTATTGCTATGAAAAAGGGAAAATAAAAAACACCTGAGGTATGGGTACATATCAATATGCTGCATTCGTATAACTGCCTTTCATTTTGGTAAATTTCTATTCATCTTTTTTTACCATGGTAGATGTAGTGAAAACAGAAGAGGGTTACAATGACCAATGTCCCCAGACAATCTGGCTCCTGGGAAGTATTTCCTGAAGTGGATATGTTCCTAAAGCAGTACTCTAAAGTGTGCCTGTTTGTCAATGTTGCAGGCATTTTAGCCAGTGTTTCTAGGATGCAAGTTTAAATCTGAGAGGTCAAATAGCTAAACGGTCCAACTCTTACATATTACTATTACTGTTTCTGTCATTTTAAGTGAGAGAAATGTGTTCCTCATAATTATAGTTACACAACATGCAGAGTTGCTGTCATTAAATCTGAACAAGTGTGTTCATAATCAGATTGTATTACTGCAACACTTGGTATATATTATATTTTCACAATGCCATTTGTATCTGTTCTGGGTATGAAGCACTTTACTAAGTACTAAAAAAGCACTGCAAGATTTTCTCCCAACTCCACATTACATGTGATTTTGGCATTAATCATATCATATTTATCTTAATTATGTTGAACAAAAACATGACCTCCCTTTTTTATTAGTAATCCTATTTCTCTTCATTTGTGTCAGAGGAAGAAAATGGGTGAACCCTTAAAACACTAGAGAGGGCTGTCTCTTTTGCAAAAAAACACGTAATATCTTTATACGCTATAGAACTGCTGCATTCCCCATGAGAAGAGACTTAAGCAGCAGATCTGACATCTACCCTATGGATGATTAGCATCATTAGAGCATCAACTGCTCCTTCTCGCCGAGGCCACACACATACACACTGAAGGCTCATCACATCAAAACACTTAGACTAAATGCTGCCATGTTCTTGAAAGTGATGCAATAATAATTCAAAGTAGGTCAGATGCAGAAACCTTAATTGTTTAAATAAGAATTCAAAAATGTGTGTATTTTTATGCATTTCTGAATTTGAGGCCGTTTTTTCATTTGTTTTTTTTTTTGTTTGTGTTTTTTTCAGCTCCTCTGACGGACAAACCACCCAAGATCCTATTTCCTGCAGAAAATAAGATTACCAACATGCCGATGCAGCTAGGTAAGAGAGTCTTGGGGTGTTTTTTTTGTTTGCTTGTTTTTTTTGCTTTTTATTTCAGCTGCAGTGAGTTGTGTCTGAGTTTTTTCTAACTGACAGGAAAGAGAGATTACTTTAAAGAAATCATCTCGACTCTACCACACCTTCGAGCAATGCATACAGATTGGTGATGGCACTTTAATGTGTTGGGGAGATGTTGAAAGAAACAGAAAAGAAAGAGAGGTATAGGTTTATGCTAATTGGAGGTGCTACCATCCCCAAAGCTGTTTTGTCAACGATGAAGAGCCCATATGGTACTGGGGTTCCGTACTCTGGCTCGCCACATTGAGAGGCGGCCACTTTCTGTCGACGTTGTTTGTCTTTTCTGACGTAAGGTCACAATGGGACTACTATGTGGGTATGCATGCAAGAGACAGTATTTGCGAGTGGTTTGTTTGTTTTTTTTTGCTCTGTGAGAGCATATTGCTTGATTTCTGGGCACCGTCCGCTGTCCACATGGTGCTTGCTGCGTTGTGAATGGCTAATGTGTCTGTCACGGTGAAGCCAATCAGACAAGACTGAGAGGTCTGGAGAATCAGAGAAGGATTGGAAGAGTTTGTGACAGGAAGGGGTGGTATGAAGACAAAGCCCAAAGCAGGTCCAATAATTCACTGAGAGCCTGCCTTTTGTCTTCAATCTGATTCTGCTGGAATGCCGGTAGTTCATTTGAAATGTCTCCACGGTTGGCTGATCAAGGGTGAAAAATTGCTGCTGTTGATAAACTGACAGGCACAGCCTCACATGTCAGCCAGCTCACACCCATGCATGAACAAGTTGCACAATGTGGGCCCTTAAGCTATTTGTGTCATTTGTCTCTATCTTTATTCCACTGAGAGATTCTGGAAAGGTTTAGTTTTTCCCTTGAAACATCTCACATTTGTTTAAATCCTCATTGTTAGTTATTTTCTATTTGCTTTGTGACTGTGAGTTTTTGTTTGCTTGTGTTATTTCTTTTCTAATGTGTATGTTTTTGCAGGAAATGGCTGCTGTCTTTATAAAACTAGTTGTAAAATAATGAGAAAAGAGTCAAACTTGGAGCAGTAGAGGTCAAAGACAGCTCCTATGTAGAAACTGTTTTTGTTGCAGCAGGTCAAGTTTTCCGTTATTCTGAGTACTGGGTAATTATGAATGGAAGGAGCTAAATTCTACTGTAAATTCTGTAAATATACAAAGTGGGACAATTTAGAGTTTAAAAACAGTTTTACAAAAAGTCTATCATCAACATTTTATTATATCTTGCCCACCTTTGAGCTTCCAAACAAGATTTAAGAGCCAATACTTTGTTTGGACTGTTACTTTTGAACAAATATGATCAAAGCTAACATGGGGACACAAAAGTGCAATGCAGTCTTGACTTTTTAAACCCTTTTCACAGCTGTGACAAGCTATCTCACCAGATTTTTTAAGAAAATGAATTGATAATACTTCTTAAGCTATTGGAAACATTAACTAATGTCTGGAAACTAAATTTTGCATTGTACTTTAAAAGCCAAATTTCAACAGTTGCATCAAAATGTAATCTAACAGGGCTAAGAAGGCCACTGCCTTGTTTTCAAACAGATCCATGGCAACAGATAATAAAAGCAATCCCACAGTAGAGGTTTAACTGTAATGTGCAATTACTATTTGATACCCTGTGCAATAACCTATTTGTCTATATTTGAAGCCCAGTGTAATAACTATATATATAGATATGAATATCCATCTATATAAATACCCATGTTAACACTGTGCAATAACCCTGTATAATAATCCTGCTATAAAAAAATAAAAAAAACTGTCATATGTTGACGCGCTCTATATACTGTATATATCCCATGCACATTTTTCTTCCTTTGGCACCTTCTTCTTCTCCTTTGATTATTTAAGCTGATGTAATGAGTAAATAACTCCACTGTGAGATCAATATAGTCAATCAATCAATCAACTACTTTATCTGTTGTCTAATAAAATTTACAATAACCCCAAAATTGTGGGAAAAGTTTCAGAATTCTTGCTGAAAAAAATGCAACGGCTAAAGCAAGAGAAAATAATTCATTGTTTTATTCAGGAATCAATGTGGACAAAGAAAAACTCAGAGGGCAGAGAAGAAGGTGATGCAATAAAAACAATTTATTCTGAAACTAAGATTTCAAACTAATATCTGCTTCTGTTATCTGCATTAAATCTCCCACCAGTGTTTTTTTTCAACACAGCTTCAAATAAGTCTTCTTCGGTTACAGAACCAATAATATTACTTTTTACTTTTATAAGCAGAGACCCTCTCATAATGGGCATGTCAATGCACAATATGCACTTTTTTTATATTTCAAACTGCATTGGCATGGCTTATCATTCCTTCCGGGATGACGTTAGGATATTCATCTTTTCACAATGCAAAGAAATGTTTTATATGGGAGAAAACCTTTAAAAGACAAACTCAAACTCGTAAGCACAGGACCTTTCAATCATAGTGTGTCCTTTTAATCAGGGAACATTTTACTGTTAGAACAAAGAAATAATTTGATTAGGGGCACAGCAAACTCTGGAAGCAAACATCCAGTATTTTAGAAATAAAACTGATTTGTTTTTACAACCCAATAATGATCCTAAACATATCAAAACATCAGGAGTGACCTTGACTAACCTGTACATATCAATACAATTTCATGGCAGGTGGTGAAATGAGCAACTGCATGATGACCAGAACCACAGAGAGCTTTAAGGCTGAAACAAGTATTGCAGAACTAAAGTCGTTTTCACACCTGATAGTTCATTAGACTTGGATCCATCGGGGACCAAAATTGCAAGACTGTCACTGTTTTTATCTCGGGCGGTTTACATTCACAAGGCACTTATCAAACCGAAACAAAGTTTTGACCCAAAAAACTACTTCCTTGTGCGCAAAAATGTAAACATCCTAGAATGGCAACAGCAGTGTCATTGCTTTGCTGTCTTTTTGGCAAGTTTGCCAGATAAGTATCTTTCAACTTTTGGCAGGCAACTGCAGGGACCTTTTTTTATTTTTTATAGTCAAGGCTCCAAAAGAGGCAGTGATGTGCAAGAAGTGGCACATTCGACTTCATTGCACTGACATCAAAAATGCATACTGTAAACGTCCAGCTAGATGTCTGTTAGTAAAATATGAATGATTTAATTTGCATTAATTACAGTAAAATTACAGTTTTCAGAGAGGTCTCCAGTCTCCTTGACATTCACACCTATTCGTACCGCGATATAGTTAATTTCAACCAAGCTGAGACCAAAGGTTTTGAGGGGGACCCAAGTTAGATTTTTTTTGTCCGTATCAGAGTTTGACTGCAGATTCATAACTGCCTAAAGGAACCAGACATTCTGCTGAAATGAACTATGGTCCAGTTAATGTGGACTAAACAGGGCTGGAATTAATAAACCCAAAAAGAGGAATCTAAAACTGGTATTGCTTAACAAATAGGGTTTTACTCACCTCCTACCCTAACAATCACCATCTGCCTGCCTGCCTATCTGTCTATTCATACAAATATATGCAACAGCATATATACAGTATATTTTTTTTGGTTTTTTCCTTTTTGAATTTTTTTTTTTTCATCTAAATCAAGCCCAAAGGGAATATCACTTGATTCAACTGTGCGTCACTAATCCTTGCACATTTTATTGCCCTGAAAAACCAGTAGCCTTCATATAAAGAAGTGATTACCCACCCTCTACAGGAAGCATCCTCCTTGACCCCCCATTCTCTCTAAACACTGAGCAGCGAAATGAGGCAGAGTGCATAGAACTGCTCTAAGTTGAGAACCCTTTTAGAACCAATTCTGAACAGTGACAAGTACTGTTCTTTTCTTAAGCTGATGTCTAAGAAAAACAATGGCTGTGAGACATAATTTAGCCTTCCTAAAGATTTTTTTTTCTTCAGAAGTGGTGTGATACCATGCTATAAGGCCCATTTACACTTCCCTTTTGAAACCCTGCCTAGATCACAGTAACCAAGATTACTGTTTAGTGTAAATGGAATAAAACTGAACTGGACCATGCCAGACACAAGTGAACCATGCTCAATCTAGTACTAGTTCAACAGTAGGGCTCTTCACGGTTCAGTTGTGGCTTGATTCTCTGATAACAAAGAGCGCATGAGCAGACCGTGTCATCTCCTATTTACAGTCACCTGACTCATTTTGCAGGTTTTAAACCGTGAATTGGGCGTCACCCACATTGGGAAAAGTGGTATCGCAGTGAAGGCGAGAAGGTTTCATTCAGGATGGAAAAACAGTCTGGTAGTTCATCACAACTTTAACTGGCTTAATAAAGTATGATACTTAACCTTTAATTTATTTTTTTTTTTGTCTGTTATTTGAAAATGACAACTGATTGCTGAGGTGATTGGAGTAATTCTACAATCTAATCTAATCTAATACCTAAGCTGTTGTTTTTACTACCAGATGCATAATGGTGTCATTTTAAAAGCAGAGTTTAGTTTTTGTATGCTTTAAAAGAGGTTTACAAACCCATCAACAAATAAAATATCAGCACAAAAAGCAGCAGAAAAAAGAGAGACAGTAGACGGTAAAGTATGTGATCTTACGCAGCAGGCTCCCACAGACTCCCAACAGAGGCACCAAGACACAGAGGAACATTTTTTACAGTAATGTTTTTTTTTTGTGTGTGCATATATGCTCTCCCTTTCTAAGCAGGAGTTTCTCATTTTTTCTGGCTGGTATTTACTTATTCTCCTCTTTCTTAATATTTGTTGAGCCATGCCCTGAGCAGTTTAATGGAGCAAGGTGGCAGATTTATAGGAGCCAGAACGTGCATAGAAAGAAGCTGGCCCCTTATGGTAAGTGAAAAATAGAGAAAGGGAGAAATGGTATCTAGCGTAGGCCGACCGATGGGCAATAAAATCTGAGCCGTAAGCAAAGAGATAAATCTGCAACACTGCCGAGAAACACAGACCCGCTTTATCTCTTCTTCTCTTGCAAACAGTGCAGGTC